TTCCCCAAAACAACTGGTTCAGAGTCCCCAAAACATCAGTATTGCGCCTGCTAAAGGCAGCGGGTGGCTGTCCTGGGCCAGGGGACAATGGTTTGCTTGTTTGCTAAAACGGCGTTATTGAGACAACTGTAGAATCTCAATGAAGTCTGTAGATTAGGGAATAGAACATAAGAGAGTGAATTTTCCGATGTTGATACTCATACTGTGGTTATGTAAGAGACTGGTCTTGTTCTTAGGAAACACATATGAAATATTTGGGCAAAGGGGCTTCAGGTCTGCAACCGCTCTCAAGTGGTTCAGAAAATAAAATACACGTGGAGGGGGGCAGCAGAGAGAATGATGAAACAAACGTGGTAACATTTCAAAACCGGGGAATCTGGGTGAAGGAGTTCTTCTATTGTTGCTGCACAACTGAAATTATTTCAAAATAAAAAGTTACAAAAATTGAAAAAACCAAAGTCAGTATCATGAATGAAAAAAGGCTGAGAGGCTGGGCGTGGTGGCTCATGCCTGTAATCCCAGCACTTTGGGAGGCCAAGGCAGGTGAATCACTTGAGGTCAGGAGTTTGAGACCAGCCTGCCCAACATGGAGAAACTCTGTCTCTACTAAAAATGCAAAAATTAGCCAAGCATGGTGGCGGGCGCCTGTAATCCCAGCCACTCGGGAGACTGAGGCAGGAGAATGGCTCAAACCCGGGAGGCAGAGGTTGCAGTGAGCTGAGATCACACCATTGCACTCTAGCCTGGGCGACAAGAACGAAACTCCGTCTCAAAACAAAGAAACAAACAAACAAACAAAATGCTGAGAACGGTTTCTGATTCCACGAGACTATGTAGACCCAGGTAGTCCTTGCAGACCCTCCTAGATTCGGGGAAAATCGGCTGCCATGATGGCAGCGGCTGGATACAGCAAGTGAACCTATGGACAGGGTCAGACGCCAGCATGGCCGTGTGAATTTCCTGGGTGTGGAATCACGGGCGGACCTGCGGGACATGTCCTTGCTCTTTGGACGTGCTCCCTAGATTTCATGATGTCTGCAACCATCTCCCATGTGGTTCCCCAAAAACACATTTATAGGGCCGGGTGCAGTGGCTTATACCTGTAATCCCAGCACTTTGGGAGGCCGAACTGGGCAATCACCTGAGGTTGGGAGTTCCAGACCAGCCTGACCCAAATGGTGAAACCCTGTCTCTACTAAAAATACAAAAATTAGGTGGACTGTGGTGGCGCGTGCCTGTAATCCCAGCCACTCAGGAGGCTGAGTAGGAGGAGAGTAGTAGCAGGAGAATCACTTGAATCCGGGAGGTGGAAGTTGCAGTAAACTGAGATGGTGCCACTGTACTTCAGACTATGCAACAGAGGGAGACCCTGTCTCAAAAACAAAAACAAAACAAATACAAAAACATTTATAGGAGAGAGGGGGTGGGAGGTGAGCCCATGGGATCTAAACGGGGGTACACAGGGATTCATGCATCCCCCAACTTTGCCCCAGCCCCCATTTCTCAACTTTTCTTTCTCTGGCCACTAGATGTCTCTGTGTTGTCCAACCAGGCAGTGGTTTTCTTTTTCTTTTCTTCTTTTTTTCCGTAGAGACGGGGATCTCACTATGTTGTCCAGGCTGGTCTCAAACTCCTGACCTCAAGTGATCCACCCACCTCGGCCTCCCAAAGTGCTGGGATCACAAGTGTGAGTCACCATACCCAACCTTCATTTTTAAAAAGTGCTTAAAGTTTCCAGGATGGCGAATTAAGACCTTTGCCCTTCTTCTCTGACCCTCCTCTCTCTCTCCTACCCTGTGTTAAGGTGGCCTTTTCTCAACTGAGCGTCTTCTCTGGTTTCCCGGGGGACCGCCCAGCCCACTTGACCTCTACGGCAAGGAATTTTCCACCAGATGGGTCTCTGCTGCCCTCCCGTGGCCATCAGCAGTAGCACAGACCAGGCCAACTGGAGGGCAGACACCTGACATGGATTTTGTGGTCTCTCCTGTCCTAGAAGAGCTGGGGTCTGCAAAGACACAGAACCAATCGGAAAGGTATTTACTTAAGGGATTGGCTCACATGACACAAAGTAGACCCTCCAGGAGTCTGGCGCATGAAGGAGTTAATTCACCAAGGGAATAATCCAAAACTCTCTCCAGGACCTGGCTGTTCAGTTGGGAAGTTAAGACACACCCCTTAAAGGGGCCGGGCACAGTGGCTCGTGCCTATAATCCCAGCACTGGGAGTCCGGGCGCAGTGGCTCACGCCTCTAATCCCAGCACTGGGAGGCCGGGAGCAGTGGCTCATGCCTCTAATCCCAGCACTGGGAGGCCGAGGCGGGCGGATCACCTGAGATCAGGAGTTTGAGACCGCCTGGGCAACATGGTGAAACCCCTTCTCTATTAAAAATACAAAATTTAGCTGGGCATGGTGGTACGCACCTTTAATCCCAGCTGCTTGGGAGGCTGAGGCAGGAGAATCGCTTGAACCTTGGAGGCAGAGGTTGCAATGAGCTGAGATCTTGCCATTGCACTCCAGCCTGGGCGACAAGAGCAAAACTCCGTCTCAAAAAACAGGCAAACAAATAAAACCACAGCCCTTAGGACAGACACCCACAATTCCAGCAGAGCAGAGCATTCATGTGAGATGGATATGGGGGGAGGCGACGGGGTGGAGGAGTGTGTTGGAGGAGGAGGGGTGAGGGCAGGGGTAAGGTCAGGGTGCTCCGGAGAGACCCTGTGGGGTAGACCATGGGACGGTTTGTTCTCTTTGGACCCTGTGTGAGTGTCCTGGTGGCCCCCATAGCAAAATTACCCCAAACTGGGGGCTTAAAATGACAGAAGCTTCTTCTCTTGCAGTTCTGGGGCCAGAGGCCAAAATCAAGGTTCTAGGGAGGCTGTACTCCCTTCGGAGGCTCAGGGCTCTCTCCAGCCCCTGGCACCTCTCTGTGCTCCTGGCTCACACTGTGCCACTCCTGTCCCTGCCCCTTGGCCGCATGGCCATCTCCCCTGGGTGTGCTTCCATCTCCTCTACTCATGAGGACTCCAGTGGTGGGATCGGGGCCCACCTTCGTCCGGTGTGACCCAGCTGATCACATCTGCAACGACCCTGTTTCCAAATAAGGCCACACTCTGAGGTCCCCAGGAAGACATACATTTGGGGGGACACCCTTCCACCCAGCACAGCCCCCAAGAGTGAAGGAAGCAGAGAGCAGGAGAGTGACTTGACTGGGGCCCAGTGATGGCTGCATGGCACAAAGGGGACACGGGACCCCCCCACCCCACAGCCTGGCACAGAAAGGAAGGAACCACGCTGACCATGGAACCCCAGGGGGCTACTTAGAGACGTCCCACAGGAGGTTGGAGGGGTTCATGCCCCAGACAGAGAATGGGGACCCAGCAGGGACAGAGCTTGGGTGGTCCATGCATTGTTCAGGGCCTCTGGGGAACACAGGGCAGGGCATCTGCAAAGGACTATTGGAGAGAGTGGGATGATGAGATCACTGGAGAAGCGTGAGGAGGGGCCAGTCAGCCGGCACAGCCCCGTGGGCACCTGGGGATGGGTCAGAGAGGGAAGCCGCCATCAGCCTGGACCTGCGCACTGGGAATTTCAATGAGTTCTGGGTCCTGGCCCCAACCTCTTTGTCTGTCCCTTCACCCCCATGTCAGGGACTTACTTCTTCTAATTAAGTACTGTCATGATCCCATTCTGCAGGGGAGGGGACTGAAGCCCAGAGAGGTCAGGAGACTTGCCCAAGGTCACACAGCAGAGTGGGGTCTGGGATTTGAACCTGTGTTTAGCTGACCCTAAAGTCCTTGCTTTTATATATGTTTAAAAACAACAACAACAACAACAACAAAAACCCTTTCCATTTCCATAATGAAAACCTCCAAACATACAAAGTAACAGAACAGCAGAGCAAGGCCTGGGCCGCTTCCTTCGCCCGCCTCCCACCCTCGTTCCTTACTGTCCTGATGTTTATGTTTCTTTCCTGAAGGTAAAGTGTCTATACATTGAGATACAGTAATCATACAATTAGTAGAATGTATTGGACTTGAGCTAGTCAATTTGACATGTGCGTTTATATTTTCTTTCTGTGGTATCTTAATTGTCTTACTTTACTAACTGAGCAGATAGTGCTTTTTTTTTCTGAGACAGAGTCTCGCTGTGTCGCCCAGGCTGGAGTGCAGTGGCGCGATCTCGGCTCACTGCAAGCTCCACCTCTCGGGTTCACGCCATTCTCCTGCCTCAGCCTCCCAAGTAGCTGGGACTATAGGCGCCCACCACCGTGCCTGGCTAATTTTTTTGAGACAGAGTCTCGCTGTGTCGCCCAGGCTGGAGTGCAGTGGCCCGATCTCAGCTCACTGCAAGCTCCACCTCCCGGGTTCACGCCATTCTCCTGCCTCAGCCTCCCAAGTAGCTGGGACTATAGGCGCCCACCACCGTGCCTGGCTAATTTTTTGCATTTTTAGTAGAGACGGGGTTTCACTGTGGTCTCGATTTCCTGACCTCATGATCCGCCCACCTCGGCCTCCCAAAGTGCTGGGATTACAGGCGTGAGCCACCGCGCCCAGCCCTATAGTGCTTTTATAATAAGGGAAAAAAACAATGCAATTCTGATAAAAACATGAAAGACTCCTTTGAGCTGGTTCCTTGCCCCACCCTGGGGAGGCTCAAGTTTACCCCGTGCATCTGCACCCCCCACCTGAGCCTAGACCCCGGGAAGGCCAGTGGCGGGCTTGGGGCATGCAGCCTCCCTGAAGGGAGGGAGGAACCCAGTGGGCAGGACCCACACATGTGGCTGTGCGCAGGCCTAAGCCCCCTAAATCTCTCCCTGCTACCTTCTTGGGAGCCCCAAGCACTAGCCCAGTTCCACAAGAGCCTCCATCTTCAAAGGGAGAGTGTGGGCCTCTGTGGGATGCCCTCTTCTGAGTAGCCCCTGAGCCAATGCGAGGCTGGGGAGGCCAGCCTCAGGGAGGCATTGCCCGGGCAACCAGCCCCTCCTAGGGCCTGCTGTGGGCGGCCCCGTCACCTGGCAACCTGGTGGCAGCGTCCCTGGAGCCCAGTCCACACAGCTGCACCCAGCCCTGCCCAGCTCCTCCCAGGCCTGCAGGACCCCTGGGACCCTGTCCTTATTCCCCACCACTAGGACAGCCAAAGCTCTGGTCACAATGAACATCGTCTTCTCCAGGTGAGTGGGCTGGCGCCAGCCTGGCTGCGAGGGAGGTGGAAGTGGGGTTTTGAGGCCCAGTGCACCAAAAAAGATGAGGGCAGCAGGACCTGCTGCTTGGGGTGGGGGTGGGGGGTAAGGGGAGCCCTCCCTCCCACGCCGCCTCCGCCTCCATCCAGCTCAGGGAAGACAGGGCTTGAAACTACAGAAGCTTCCAGAATCTGGCCTCCTTCTGCTTCTCCAGAATCACTGCCTGTGGATCTGGGGTAGCCAAATTCATCCCCATTCCTTTCTCGCCTCCACCTGGAAAACCCCCATTCCACCTCAATCCCAACCAGGCCTCCCCCTTCCCTGGAGGCCCAACCCACGCCGCCCCGGCCACGCCGCCCCAGCCCACGCCGCCCCAGCCCATGCCATCCCTGCTCTCACAACCTGCCTGCCCTGCCCCCCTCATTTCCATGCCTGGTTCCTCTGAGGTTTGAATTCCAGGCAACCTCTCAAGCACCCAATGTGTTTTTATCTTTTATTTTTATTTTTTTGAGATGGAGTCTCACTCTGTAGCCTAAGGTAGAGTGCAGTGGTGCAGTCTCAATCTTGGCTCACTGCAACCTCCACCCACTGGGCTCAAGCGATTCTCATGCCTCAGCCTCCCAAGTAGCTGGGACCACAGGTGTGCTGCCACACCCGGCTAAGTTTTTGTATTTTAGTAGAGATGGGGTTTCACCACGTTGCCGAGGGTGGTCTTGAACTCCTGAGCTCAGGCAAACTGCACCCCACAGCCTCCCAAAGAGCTGGGATGACAGGCGTGAGCCACCGTGCCTGGCCCTGATGTGTTTTGAAAACACAGCTTCTCAGGCACACTCCCAGGGATTCTGGTGCACACGCCTGGGGTGGGGGCCTGGGAGCCCCAGTGTCTGACTTCTGTCCCCTGTGCTGCTGAATCATGGCGCTCTGAGGATCCTACCTGCAAGAACAGAGGCTGTGTCTGGCTGTGTGACCTGTAGCAAGATGCTTCACCTCTCTGGGCCTCAGTTCACTCCATTTTCATATGGTGATACCAGCAGTGCCTTGCTTACAGGGCAATGCACGTGGAGTGTTTTGCGGCGAGGGTGGTGAGAGAGTTAGGGTCTGTCTGGACAGAGGGCTGCTCCTCAGGGCGTTTCTCGCATCAGGGATTTGATGAGAGGATTGCACGGGGGACTTTGGTCAGAGGGAGAGAGGCAGGGACAGTGACACGCTGGGGATGAGGGGAAGGAGAAGGCGTGAGGAAGCCCAGGAGGGAGGCAGAGGCTGGGCGTCCGTGGCTGTCTTAGAAGCCTGAATGCGGCAGGTCAGTCATCGTGCACCTGCTGCGGGGAGGTGCCGGACTGGGAGCATTTAAAGGTGAGTCAGGGCCGGGTGTGGTGGCTCATGCCTGTCATCCCAGCACTTTGGGAGGCCAAGGCAGGAGAATCACCTGAGGTCAGGAGTTTGAGACCAGCCTGGCCAACATGGTGAAACCCTGTCTCTACTAAAAATACAAAAATTAGCCAGGCATGGTCGTGGGTGCCTATAATCCCAGCTACTCGGGAGGCTGAGGCAGGAGAATTACTTGAACCCGGAAGGCAGAGGTTGCAGTGAGCCAAGATCATACCACTGCACTCTAGCCTGGGTGACACAGCAAGATTCTGTCTCAAAAAAAAAGAATTTTGACAGCCTACGGGGAAAGACAGCACAGGGGAATTTCAGAGGGAAGAGGCCTCTGCAGCCAGGGATTGTGGCGTAGAGTAACCCTTCCAGGAAGATAAAGCACCTTTAGCATCCCCGGGAGGAAAAAAGCCAGCTTTGCAGCCAAACCCACGTTTATATTCCTGCCCACTACTGACCCGCCCAGGCAGATCCCCCTCATCAGCCTCAACAGCCCTGATACTGCCACCTTGAGTGACAGCCTGTGGCATGTGTGTGCCACACCAGAGGCCGGCTGATGGCAGCTCCTTTTTTTTTTTTTTTGAGACGGAGACTCATTCTCTCACCCAGGCCGGAGTGCAGTGGCGAGATCTCAGCTCACTGCAAGCTCTGCCTCCTGGGTTCACGCCATTCTCCTGCCTTAGCCTCCCAAGTAGCTGGTACTACAGGTGCCCACGACCACGCCCGGCTAATTTTTTTATTTTTTATTTTTTATTTTTAGTAGAGACGGGGTTTCACCATGTTAGCCAGGATGGTCTCGATCTCCTTACTGCGTGATCCGCCCGCCTCTGCCTCCCAAAGTGCTGGGATTACAGGCGTGAGCCACTGCGCCCGGCCAGCAGCTCCTATTTTTATAACCATTGTCTCCTCCTGGCATGCCCGGGGCCCTGCATCACTGCCCAGAACGGCTGCTTAGGTCCCCTCTTTCACAGGGACAGCCAGGTGAGGGGGATGGACAATACCGTGGCCAACACCAAGAAGTACTTCGGGCAGTTCTGCTCACTGCTGGCCGCCTACACGCGCAAGACGGCCCGGCTGCGGGACAAGGCAGACCAGCTGGTCAAGCAGCTCATCGACTTTGCCAACTCCGAGAACCCCGAGCTGCGGGCCACCATGAGGGGCTTCGCCGAGGACCTGGCCAAAGTGCAGGATTACCGGCAGGCCCAGGTGAGTGCTGCCGGCCTGGGTCTGGGATGCTGAGGGACACCCGGGCTCCAATGCCAAGGTCAGGCCTGAGGGCTGCAGGAGCCCTGCTGTGGCCACAGCCAATGGGTGTGTCCCCAGAGACATCCACCAAGCGTGGACACATTTACACCCTTTCCAGGGTCACGCCTCTGCCTGCAGGACTGAGAGCCCGGGAGGCTTTGCTGAGTCGGATGAAGGGCCAACAAAGCAAGGAAACCCAGGAAGCCAACCCTGGGGGCTCCATGAACCCCTGAATGAGACACATCCAGGGCCTATGAGGGCCTTGAGAAGGAACAGAAATCCTGGTGGGGAGTCAGGGGCAAGGAGGCTGCAGGGTGTTTAGGAAATAATTAAAAATAGAAATTCCTGCCAGCCCAGAAAAATCCTCACCATGAATTGTAGAAAAGAATCAAAAAGGGCCAGGTGCAGCGGCTCACACCTGTAATCCCAGCACTCTGGGAGGCCTAGGTGGACAGATTGCCTGAGCCCAGGAGTTCAAGATCAGCCTGGGCAACATAGCAAGACCCCATCTCTTAAAAAATAAAAATAAAAAAATGAGCACCTGTGGTCCCAGCTACTCAGAAGGCTGAGCTAGGAGGATCATTTGAGCCTGGAAGGTCGAGGCTAGAGCCATGATTGTGCCTCTGCACTCCAGCCTGGGAGACAGTGCGAGACTTTGACTTACAAAAATACCAAAAAAACAAAGATTTAAATCAGATGGCAACGCATGTCATGGGCAATCCAAGAAAGATTGTGCAGACGGAAAAGGCACTGTCTTCTCCAGGCAGGCAGACACAGCCCACGGTGCCCATGTTCTCAAGACAGATGACGATAATCCCCCAGTAAGAGGCCTTGACAACCCCATTTCTCACCAATACATCCTAATTTCACCTGGTAATGGGGTGGCCACCTGTGCTAGCTGATTATCTTTATTTTATTTAAAACATTTTTTAAGAGGCAGGGTTTTGCCATGCGGCCCAGGCTGGTCTTGAACTCCTGGGTTCAAGCCAACCTCTCACCTCGGCCTCCCAAAGTGCTGGGATTACACATGTGAGCCACCATGCCTGGCCCAGTTAATTACCTTTAACCAAAGGAAAAATAAAACTTCTCACGGCTCTGTGACAAGCAGGTGGCAGAGCTCGGAGCCAGGCGTCTACGCTAAATTCCCACAGAGGTTGGAGGAAGACCAGGACACCAGGAGGCAGGGCGCCGTCTTCCTTGATGTTTACGTGTTCACAGAGATGGCTCCTGGCCCTCACAAAAACATTCCCGATTGTAAAACGGGCAAGAGGCTGCTTTAGTTTTTTGTTGTTTTTTGTTTTTTGAGATGGAGTCTCACTCTATTGCCCAGGCTGGAGTGAAGTGCCGTGATCTCGGCTCACTGCAACCTCCGGCCTTGCAGGTTCAAGTGATTCTCCTGCCTCAGCCTCCCAAGTAGCTGGGACTACAGGCGTGCACCACCACGCCCAGCTACTTTTTTGTATTTTTAGTAGAGATGGGGTTTCACCATGTTGGCCAGGCTGGTGTTGAGCTCCTGATCTCAGGTGATCTGCTGGCCTCGGCCTCCCAAAGTGCTGGGATTACAGGCATGAGCCACCGAGCCCAGCCCTGCTGTGACCTCAATAAAAGTCTTGTCCCCAAAGCGAGGCTCAATTTTCTCATCTGTAAAGTGGGTTTGTCATCGCCACCCTGTGTGGCAGTTGGGAGACGGGGCCAGGGCTGTCATGTAGAGGGACTGAGCACATGCCAGGGGCCTGTCCTGCCCTCCCCAGTAATGACACTCCCTGAGTTCTGGGCCAGGCACCATCTTCCTACTGTCCTGAAACCCTGGTGGGTGCACCCATGACCTCATTTGACAGGTGAAGAAATGAGGCTTCGAGAGATCGAATTCTTTGCTGGAGCCCTCAGGAGGCAGAGCCGGGCCCTGAGCCCAGGCTCGGTGCCTCCAATACACTGGGAAAAGGGAGGGCACCTCGCGCTCCCCCTCCCCCCACACAGCTCTGGACACGCGGCTCCTTGGTGCAGGCTGCACTTTATATGCCCAGGCTGGAGGCAGGCAGCACCCTGTGCCCTTCACTCAGATCCCCTGGTGTCCCCGCTCCCCCAGGTCGAGAGGCTGGAGACCAAGGTGGTCAACCCCCTGAAGCTATACGGGGCACAGATCAAGCAGACGCGGGTGAGCTGGGGCACCTTGGCGTGGGTGGCGTCCCCGTCTTGCCCTGTGAGATCCCAGGAAACAGCCTGCTCCTTTTCTGCAGGCTGAGATCAAGAAATTCAAACGTGTCCAAAATCGTGAGATCAAACAACTGGAAAAGCTGGAGAAACTGAGGCAGAAGTCACCCTGGGATCGGCAAATGATCGCATCCTTCCCTGGAAGTGGGGTCTGGGGCTGCCGGGCCAGGGTGTCCACTCACACTGATGTCCTCTGGGGTTTTCTTTGCCTGGGCCCGCTGGGCAGGGGCTGGGAAGCGGGCGGACCACCCCAACGGGGCTGCCTGGGCTTAACTCGGTTCCTTAACACATGTTTTTCAGTCCCAGGTGAGTGTCACATGCCTGTCTGGGGCAGGCAGAATCACATGTAGGAAATATACGACCTCACAAAACGGCCAGGTAGGCTTTACCTGGGCAGAAGCAGGTGTGTGCAGGACCTTGCGCTCAGGATGGGAAAGCCAAAGGTACCGGTAAAAAGGGGCTCTGGGAGTCTGGAGACCTGGGCTCTGTCCCATCATTGACACCATCCAACAAGTCACTCCCTCCACGGGCCACGGCTTCCCCGCCAGTTACTTGTTTAATGCTCATATCAGGTGCGCACTACTAGCCTCATCCCTGTTGTCTGTAGGAGGAAACCAGGGCTCACAGAGACGCAACTACGGGAGCTCATGGGGCACAGCAGGTAGAGGGGAGCCTGCACGCTCTCTGTCGCGCTGTTCTGCCCCGTGGGAAAGATGCAGGGGACGGGAGGTAGGGTGAGAGCTGGAGGAGGGTTAGTCACCTCCGCTGTATGTGTAACTGATTTGTGACTGTGTGACCTCATCCAAAGAGTGCCCCCACTTCTTTTTGAGAGACAGAGTCTCGTGCTGTTGCCCAGGCTGGAGTGCAAGTGGCAGAGTCTCAGCTCACTGCAACCTCCGCCTCCAGGGTTCAAGCAATTCTCCCCCCTCAGCCTCCCCAGTAGCTGGGATTACAGGCACCCACCACTGTGCCCGGCTAATTTTTATATTTTTAGTAGAGACGGGGTTTTGCCATGTTGACCAGACTGGTCTTGAACTCCTGACCTCAGGCGATCCACCTGCCTCAGCCTTCCAAAGTGCTGGGATTACAGGCCCAGCCACAAAGAGTGTCCCTTAATGGAGCCAAGTCAGCGGTCCTCACCTGGGGGCATTTCACTATCCGGGGATGTTTGTGGCTCACGATTGGAGAGCTCTGCTAGAACGTGTTAAGTTTGTCCCACTGTGGTGAAAAATGGCCACAGACTCACCGTTCAGGAGGTTAGAGGTCCATCGTGGGCCCACTGGGCTAAATCAAGGTGTGGAAAGGGCTGGGTTCCTTCTGGAAGTTCCAAGCAGAGTCTGTGCCCTTGCCTTTTCCAGCTTCCAGAGGCCACACACATCCTTTGGCTTGTGGCCCCTCCCCTGTCTTCAAGCTGGCAGCCTGCACCTTCCCTCTGTAGTCACGTCTCTCCTCTGACTCTCCTGCCTGCCTCCCTCTTCTGCCTGTAAGGACCCTTGTGATTGCACTGGGTGTAGCGGATAATCCAGGATATTCTCCCATGGCAAGGATGGCTGATTAGCAAACTTCATTCCACCTGCTACCCTAACTCCCTTTTGCCTTGGAAGGGGCGTATTGGCAGGTGCCAAAGATTAGGATGTAGCCATCTTTGGGGGCCGTTATCCCACCTACCACCTGGCATCCAGTGGGGAGAGGCCAGGGATGCTGCTAAACCTCCCACAGTGTCCCGGACACTAGTGCCAAGTGTGGGGAGTCCTGACCTACACGAATGGGGACCACAGCCCTGCCCGAGCACTTCCGGGTTCTATCCTGGCTCCTGCCTGGGTCACCCACCGTCTCTGCAATCCATTTGTTTGAGTGACAACAGCTTTCCCTTCTGTCCTGGGGGCTTCCTAGATGCGAGCCCCCAGCTGTCTCTTCTCGGGCATTTCACAAACATGAAGGTGGCATTAAGTCCCCATTTTAAAGAGGAATTTGAAGCTGAAAAAAGTGACTTGCCCAAGGTCACGCAGGCAGTTAAGTTGCAAATTTCAAATGCACCTCCAAGGTGTTCAACTCTAAAAGCTAGATTCTTCATGTCAGGGCTTGGCGTGGAGTAGGCGTCTATAGATGTTGATCAAAAGAACGAAGGAGTTAATTAACTAAACGTGTTCCTCATGCAGAAGTTAATTATCAATGAACGTGGAGCACCTGTCATAAGGGTTCAGCAGGTGCCACTGTTTAAGTTTTACAACAGCCCTGCTAAGCAAGTCTCATTACTGTCCTCTGTTTACAAGCAAGGAAATTGAGGCTCAGAGAGGGTAAATGACTTGCCTGAGGTCACACAGCTAGCAAGCAGGTGTGTCTCACTCCAGTGACTGCTCCTTCAGCTGGGGTCCTACTCAGCCATTCCTTTGATGACCAAATTAGCAAGAGATGTCCCTTGAGGCAGGAGAGCTGACCTGAGAGAAGGGTTTAGAGACAGAGTGATTCAGAAAGGTGTCTAAGGGCCAGAAGCACCCCCATGACACTTTCTACCCCTTGTGTCCCTGAGACCAGGCGGAGACCAGAGTGCAGAGGGCCGCCATGGACTCCAGCCGCACCACCCTCCAGCTGGAGGAGACAGTGGATGCCTTCCAGAGGCAGAAGCTGAAGGACCTGCAGGTGAAGGTGGTTGGCCGGGATGGGAGGCGCCCTGGGCTGCCTGGTGTGTGTGTGCACGCACGTGTGTGCATGTGTCTGTGTGCATGCATCAGTATGAGTGTGTGTGTGCGGGTCTGTGTACATGTGTGAGCATGGGCAAGTGTGAGTGAGCTTGTGCTCACACAGGCTCGCGGCACAGTTAATCCTGGCCACAGGGCATCAAGGCTGGTGCTCAAGGCAGCTGTCCCAGCGCAGCTGGAAGCCACTGGGTGGCCCTAGGTCCAGCTCCTAGCCAGGAAGAGTTTGTTTCCCTCCACACACACTCTCCACTTCCTCTCCACACAGATAGCTGTAACCTCTTTTTGTCCTCACAGCTCCAAACCCCCTCCCTGAACAAGCCACGCTGAGGCCCAGCAGCTGGGTGTGGGTGCCTTCCTCCTGCCACCCAGATCTCCACCCCAGTGCCACAGAGCCCTGGGCCCAGAGCCCCAGCTCTTACAAGAGGAGCTCAGAGAGGTGGGACTGGCTGATCACAGAGATCCCTTCCCCAGGTCTCGAGCCCACTCTAGTCCATTCTCCAAAGGTGCACGCCGCCTGGGGATTTTTTTTTTTTTTAGATGGAGTCTCACTTGGTTGCCCAGGCCGGAGTGCAGTGGTACGATTTCCACTTACTGCAACCTCCGCCTGCAGGGTTCAAGTGATTCTCCTGCCTCAGCCTCCCGAGCAGCTGGGATTACAGGCGTATACCACCATGCCTGGCTAATTTTTGTATTTTTAGTAGGGATGGGGGGGTTGGTCTCACCATGTTGGCCAGGCTGGTCTCGAATCCCTGACCTCAAGTGATCCACCTGCCTTGGCCTCTTAAAGTGCTGGGATTACAGGTGTGACCCATTGCGCCTACCCCAGGGATCTCTTAAAAGTCAGGTCCAATTCATCATCCCTGGGCTGAGCACCCTCTGGTGGCTCCCCTTGTTCTAAGGACTGGAACCAAAATCCCTTCAAGGCTCCTGAAGCCCTGACCCAGCCCTGCAGCCTCATCCTGCTCGTGACACTCCAAGCTCCAGTGCACAGAGCCCACTCCTACCCGAGGCCTTTGCAGGGCTGTGCCTTGATCTGCACCCAGTTGGTGCCTCCTCCTCCTTTGGCTTCAACCTCATTCTTTGGGGAAACTCACCCGGACCCCAGACTGGTCAGGCCCCTTGTTTATACACCCTACTCTGCTTCCGCAGGGCTGCCATCCCAGTTGCAATGGTTAATTGTGTATTCAATTCACACGTTACTTTAACAAGTGTGGAATGCACACCTGCTATGTGCCAGGTGCTGTGCCTGATGCTGGGGACATCATGCCCAACAAACAAGGTCCCTGAGCTGACGGAGTTGACACCGTTGGGGTGGGAGGAGATGGACGGCTCGTGTGGCCGGTGATATGCTGTGTGCCGTCCATCACATTCGTCACATTGTGGAGCAGAGAAGCCTGTGAGGTCGCTGTGTAACACACTGCATGTCGGTGCCACAGGACAGGCCCCCTGCCAGTCCCAGCCACCAGGGTCCAGGGCCTGGTACCTAGTGGGTATTCAGTAAATGCTTGTGGAATGAATGAATGAGTAAACGCCTACATGAACGCATGCACAAGGGAATGAAGTGTCAGTGATTAGTGCTCACGCTGTCTACGTGGCAAGGAGGACCTGAAACTGTCAGCAGACATTATTCAGCACCTGATGTGTTTGGGGCTGGGTGGACGGCAGCAGGGAGCATGGACCACATGGTTCTGCAGGTCAGGGGCCAACAGAAGCACAGTTTAAAAGTGGGCATGCTTTCAAGTTCTGGGATTAAATTTGTAAGAAATGTGAATCCAAACCATGCCTTGAAAGCCCTTCACATTTCAAAAGAGATAAAACAAGAACTTGAGCTAATCATCACCACCTGTCTTAGCCCATCCAGCCTGCGCCAACACGACACTTTAAACTGGGTGATTTATAAACAACAGAAGTTTCTTTCTCACCGTGTTGGAGCCTGGGGAGTCCAAGACCGAGGCTCCAGCAGATTCAGCATCCAAGCAGGGCCTGTTCCCCACGGCTGTGCCTTCTATGCATCCGCGTGTGGCAGAAGGGGCAGAAAAGCTCCCTCCAGTCTTTTTCACAAGGGCACTAATCTCATTCATGAAAGTGGAGCCCTTCTGTGGATCATGAGGAGTTCGAGACCAGCCTGGTCAACATGGTGAAAGCCCATCTCTACTAAAAATACAAAAATTAGCTGGGTGTGGTGGCGCACATCTGTAATCCCAGCTACTCAGGAGGCTGAGGCAGGAGAATCGCTTGAACCTGGGAGGCAGGGATTGTAGTGAGCCGAGATCACACCACTGCACTCCAGCCTGGGCAACAGAGAGAGACTCCATCTCAAAAAAAAAAAAAAAAAAAAAGCCTCCTGTGAAAAGATCTTCAGGACCAATTGTTAGCAGGGGAAAAAGCAAGCTCAGAAGAGAGTGAAAAAGGGACAAGAGAAGAATATTGGCTTATCTAAGGAAACAAGGGGGGAACACACAAAAACTTCTGAACCTGATCTCAGGAGGTGGAGGGAAAATGAAAAAGGGAACAGGATGGAGGATGTAGAGCAAGTCTCCTCAATTGACACTTTGGCATGGTTTATAGGTTTATATTTATTTACTTACTTATTTACTTACTTACATATGTACTTAGTAGAGAGAGGGTTTTGCCATGTTGCCCAGGCTGGTCTTGAACTCCTGGGCTCAAGTGATCCTCCTGACTCCACCTCCCAAGTTACTGAGATTACAGGCATGAGCCACTGTGCCTGACCAATAGTTTTGATTTTTGAAGCATGCAAATGTGTTCTCTCTCAAAGAAAAATAAATTAAAAATAACATGTCGAAACTTCCCACCTAGGGCCTGTCCCCACACGGACAGCTCCCCTCACCCCCCATCTGCCTACATCCCATCTGCCTACATCCCGTCTGCCTACATCCCGTCTGCCTACATCCCGTCTGCCTACATCCCAGGCTACCCTGGGATCTCTTTCTCACCGTGATGCTTACATTCTTTGATTCTTTGGGTTTCTCTCCCCACAGACATTTTTTTCTAATTTTGTGACTATTGAGATGGTTTTCCATGCCAAAGCGTTGGAGGTGTATTCTAGTGCCTTCCAGACCCTGGAGAAGTATGACCTGGAGAGGGATCTACAGGTGGGTCACAGACACCCCATTTCCTATTTGGTGGAGTGGGGCAGAGTTTCACTTTGGTTCTGTATTGATAGAAGCAGTTTTTGTTGGTAACGTTTCACAACTGTTTTTTTTTTTCTTTTTTTCTTTTTGAGATGGAGTCTCGCTCTGTCGCCCAGGCTGGAGTGCAATGGGACAATCTTGGCTCGCTGCAAGCTGTGCCTCCCAGGTTCACGCCATTCTCCTGCCTCAGCCCCCTGAGACGCTGGGACTATAGGCGCCCACCACCACACCTGGCTAATTTTTTGTATTTTTAGGGGAGACAGGGTTTCACCATGTTAGCCAGGATGGTCTTGATCTCCTGACCTTGTGATCCACCCACCTCAGCCTCCCAAAGTGTTGGGATTACAGGTGTGAGCCACTGTGCCTGGCCACATTTCATAACTTTTCTAACTTTGAAGACTCATTCTGATGAAGCATTGTCAATATCTGCACCTGGGTGCCAAACAGGACAATTTTTCGTAACACTGTTTGGAATATCAACATATTCATCATCATTGGGGTGTTTAAAAACAAATGGATCAGTGGGGCGTGGTAGTTCACGCCTGTAATCCCAGCACTTTGGGAGGCCAAGGCAGGCAGATCACCTGAGGTCAGGAGTTCAAGGCCAGGCTGGCCAACGTGGTGAAACCCTGTCTCTACTTATTGGGGGAACCAGCCCCCAGTATTTCAACATAGGTCCTTTCTATTTTCCCTAAGTGTCAGCCTGTCTGAGAAATAAAGAGAAAGAGTACAAAGAGAGGAATTTTATGGCTGGGCCTCCAGGGGTGACATCACATATTGGTAGGTCCATGATGTCCCCTGAGCCACAAAACCAGCAGGTTTTTATTAAGGACTTTACAAGGGGAGGGGGTGTATGAACAGGGAGTAGGTCATAAAGATCACATGCTTTAAAGGGCAGTAAAGATCACAAGGCAAAGGGCAAAGCAAAGATCACAAGGCAAAGAGCAAAATTAGAATTACTGATGAGGGTCTATGTTTGGCTGTGCATGTATTGTCTTGATAAACATCTTAAACAACAGAAAACAGGGTTCGAGAGCAGAGAACCGGTCTGACCTCAAATTTACCAGGGTGGGATCTTTTCCCCACCCTAATAAGCCTGAGGGTACTACAGGAGACCAGGGCATATTTCAGTCCTTATCTCGATTGCATAATACAGACACTCCCAGAGCGGCCGTTTATAGACCTCCCCCCAGGAATGCATTCCTTCCCCAGGGTATTAATTATTAATATTCCTTGTTGGGAAAAGAATTCAGTGATATCTCTCCTACTTGCACGTCCGTGTATAGGCTCTCTGCAAGAAGGAAAATATGGCTCTATTCTGCCCAACCCTGCAGGCAGTCAGACCTTTGGTTGTCTTCCCTTGTTCCCTAAAATTGCTGTTATTCTGTTCATTTTCAAGGTGCGCTGATTTCACATTGTTCAAACACACATGTTTTACAATCAATTTGTACAATCGTGGTACTGAGGTGACATACATTCTCAGTTTATGAAGATAACAGGATTAAGAGATTAAAGTAAAGACAGGCATAAGAAATTTTAAGAGTATTAATTTTGGGAACTGATAAATGTCCATGAAATCTTCACAATTTATGTTCAGGGATCGCAGTAAAAACAGGTGTAAGAAATTATAAAAGTATTAATTTTGGGAACTGATAGATGTCCATGAAATCTTAACAATTTATGTTCCTCTGCCATGGCTTCAGCCGGTCCCTCTCTTTGGGGTTCCTGACTTCCCACAACATCTACTAAAATACAAAATTAGCTGGGCATGGTGGTGGGCACCTGCAATCTCAGTTACTCAGGAGGCTGAGGCAGGAGAATCGCTTGGACCCGGGAGGTGGAGGTTGCAGTGAGCTGAGATCATGCCACTGCACTACAGCCTGGGCAACAGCGCGAGACTCCATCTCAAAAAAAAGAAAAAAAAAAGAAAAACCGTGAATGGATTAACAACAACAAAAAACATTTCCTGGCTGATGCTTGGTGTAGTTTTGAAATAGAAAGAAGTGCTATTTATCCCCATCTGATCAGTTATAATCTAGAATGAGCTGTTTGCATTATCTGTGACATCCTTCTGTAAGTCTAGTATTGTAAAGCAACAATCACTTCTCATGATTCTCGTCTGTGGTTCTGGGGGTTGATGGGGCTTACCTGGGCAGTTCTCAGGTGGGGCCTTCATGTGGTTGCCGTTGGTCAGGGGCTGGGGCTGTCTTTTCTTAGGTTTCCTCCCTCATGTCTAGCAGAAGGTGGCTGTCATCTGAGCACAGGACAGGCCATGTGAGTTGCAGGGCCCACTGCAAAATGAAAATGTGGGGCCCTTCCTTCAACAATTACTAAGATCTTCAGGACAGCAGCATCAGAGCGCTAAGCCAAGCACAGGGTCCTTCTGGGCATGGAGCCCTGGGCAACTGCATGAGCCACATCCCACAAAGCCTGCCCTCCCTGGGTCTTCCTCAGGATCTGCGGCCACAGTGCCTGCCCACAGCTTTTCCATGGGGGCCTGGGCTTCCTCACAGCAGCTGGTTCCAAGAGGGAGTGTCCTGAGACACGAGTGGAAACTCGATCACTTTTTTTTTTTTTTTTGAGACGGAGTCTGTCTCTGTCGCCCAGGCTGGAGTGCAGCGGCTGGATCTCAGCTCACTGCAAGCTCCACCTCCTGGGTTTATGCCATTCTCCTGCCTCAGCCTCCCAAGTAGCTGGGACTACAGGCGCCTGCTGGCCTCGCCCGGCTAGTTTTTGTATTTTTTAGTAGAGACGGGGTTTCACCATGTTAGCCAGGATGGTTTCAATCTCCTGACCTTGTGATTCAACCCGTCTCAGCCTCCCAAAGTGCTGGGATTACAGGCTTGAGCCATCGCGCCTGGCCGTTTTTTTTTTTTTTTTTTTGGAGATGGAGTCTCGCTCTGTCGCCCAAGCTGGAGTGCAGTACGCAATCTCGTTCACTGCAATCTCCACCTCCCGTTTCAAGCCATTCTCCTGCCTCCTTCGCCGGCTAGCTGGGGACTACAGGCGCCTGCCACCATGTCCAGCTAATTGTTTGTATTTTTAGTATAAGATGGAGTTTCACTGTGTTAGCCAAGATGGTCTTGATCTCCTGACCTCGTGATCCACCTGCCTCGGCCTCCCAAAGTGCCGGGATTACAGGCGTGAGCCACCAAGTCCAGCACTCGATCACCTTTTATGACCTAACCTCAGCAGTAACCCAGTGTGTCCTTGCCATATTCTATTTGTTAGAAGTGAATCTCTGAGGCTGCCTGTATTCAAGGGGAGAGGAATTTGATTCCCAGCTCCTGATGGGAGAAGCATCAGATCATCTGAGTTACCAATAAGCCTTAAAACTACCACGAGAGGTTTGATGCAGGTCGGAGGGGCTTCTCTCGCATTCACTCACTTAACAATATTCTTTTTAGGGGCAAAGGGGATCTCGAATCCAGCTGTTTTCCTGTGTGACGACGGTCATGTTACCTGGCCTCTCTGGGCCTCTCCCATCTGTAAAACGGGGTGATAATGCCCACTCACAGGGCTGCTGTAGATTATGTGGAATAAGAAACAGGAAGCTCCTGGAGAGGACTGTGGAGTTCCATGGGCGTTAGCTGTCTCGGGTCTTCTTATCCCACCGTCTTTCCATCCCACTCCCCTGACATGCTGTGTTTTCCCATTGGATCCAGTCCACCCTGGTCTCTCCCCGGCAGGATTTTAGAGCCAGGATGCAAGGAGTTTATGGGCATTACAATACTCAGCCGCTTGCCAACACCAACCCCTCTCCATCTGTTCTTCAGTCTCTCGCCAGCCAGGTGAGTGTGTGGGTGGGGGTTACACCTAAAATGACATACATGGCATGGGAGGTCCTGTGGTAGTAATCCCAGGGATCAGAGGAGGGTGGCTGAGAACTCAAATTTGAAATGAGAGGCTGAGGAGGCAGGGGTGGTGGGAGCGTGGAAGGCTGCCTGAGGTCTGACCAGGACTTTGCCTTGAAGTAGAACAAAGGCAGGTGCGGGGACTCATGCCTGTAATCCCAGCACTTTAGGAGGCCGAGGCGGGCAGATCATTTGAGGTCAGGAGTTTGAGACCAGCCTGGCCAACATCGTGAAACCCCATCTCTACTAAAAAAAAAAAAATACAAAAATTAACCGGGCTTGGTGGCGTATGCCTGTAATCCCAGCTACTTGGGAGACTGAGGCAGGAGAATCACTTGAACCCATGAGGCAGAGGTTGCAGAGAGCCGAGATCGTACTATTGCACTCTAGCCCAGGTGACAGAGTGAGACTCTGTCTCAAAAAAAAAAAAAAAAGAATCAATGAAGCCACAACACGCAGTGTGGCAGCTCACACAGTCCCTGCCGTGGCTGCCACGAGTCCTGAGCACTCCCTGGAGGCACTCTGAGGTGTTGCCACTGGAGAAGCAGAGGCCCCCCAGACAGGTCCACACCTCCATCCCAGCCCACGGGCCCACGGTTTCCAGAATCCAGGATTCCTCAGAGGTTAGGGAAGTGATTAGGTGCATACATTACACGTTACCTTACAGCCCCAGGAAGGCCTGCCGTCAGGAGCACTTATATTTCCACAGGGAACTCTGCAGGTCCAGCTGTGTAGGGCAAATGAAGACCCTGAACATCCTCATGCCAATCATGGCAGGTTTAGTCTCCATGACTGGGGGTTGAGGGGGCAGTCAGCTCACTGTGTGTGTGGGCAGGGTGGGTATCTCATGCTTCCAGGACATTCTCTCTAACGATGGTAGGGTAAGTGCAATCCCAAGCTGTTTAAAATAATCCCAGACTGCCTGGAGGCTTTGTCCATATTTTCTTATTCTTTTTTCTTTGTCTTTGTGGGACTGGGTTAATTCGAAGACCTTGTCTTCAAGCTCTGAATTTCCTTCTTCTACTTGTTCAATTCTATTGCTGAGACTTCCCAGAGCATTTTGCATTTCTGTAAGTGTGCCCAGTGTTTCCTGAAGTTTTGGTTGGTTTTCTTTATGCTATTTCTTGGTCCAAGCCCACTGCTCCTGGCGGTGGGACCTCGGGGAAGTCTCCTGGCCTCTCTGTGCCTTGGAGTCCTCGCCTGCAGAGTGGCTCAGAACAGTGACCTCTGTGTGGGGCTGCGCTGAGTATCAGATGAACAGATCCATACGAAGCACGGAAAACCCGGCCTGTTGTGCAACGAACACTCGAGACTTGTTGCTGCCATTATTATTACTGATGTTGCTGTCGTTTTATTATTACTATTATTTAGAGTGCTCAGAGCACGATACGGAGCCCAAGAAAAGAAGGGGAGGAGAGTGAGGACGACTCCATGGAGGAGGCCCCTGTGGAGGATCTCAGGGCCCTGGGGCAGAGACCCAATGCTAGAGAACCGCCCACAACAGTCAGAAGAACTTAGCTGGCCTGGGATCCTCAGGTGGGCTCTGCTGTGTGCCCTCAGGCAAGCCACATGTCCCCTGAGCCTCAGTTTCCTCATCTGTACAATAGGGCCAATATCACTCACCTCACAGGTTGCTCTGGGGGATCGCTGTGCGTGGCACATAGTAGGTGTTCAATAAATGCCCTGTGACTCTCAGCTGGATCCTGGCGCTCTCGTCCTGCCTTTAGTCCGGGGGCTCAGGTGGGGTGTGCTTGCCCCTGTGTTCATGGTGCAAGCACAGTGGATTCCTTTCCTGGGCTGCCTAGACAAGCACCACTGCCCGGGCAGCTCAAACCACAGAAAATTACTCTCCTGTGTTCTGGAACCCAGAAATCTGACAACAAGGTGTCAGCAGGGCTAGTTCTTTCTGGAGGCTCAGCACCCATCCCAGGCCCCCTCCAGCTTCCAGTGGCTCCTGTCCTCGGCGCGCCTGGGCTTGTAGCCGCATCCCAGCCCCTGCCTTCCTCTTCAGGTGGTGTTCTCCCAGTGTGCACTTAAGCCTGTGTCCAAACCTCCCCTTCCTATAAGGACGCCCATCATCAGAGACCCCCCTCACTCCAGGATGGCCTCATCTTGCCTAATTATATCAGCAACGACCCATTTCCAAATAAGGTCACATTCGGAAGTATGGGGGCGGGTAGGACTTCAACATAGACCTTCGGGGACAAAATTCAGCCCACAACACATGGATGTGATGTGCAGGGATGCTCTTGGGACCAAGATTGCCACAGAAGTCCACAGCGGTCAGAGCGGGATGGAGGTGTAGGGAGGGTTGGGGTGTGTGGACTAGGGGGCTGTCTGCTGGGACCGCTGGTGCATAGCCGGGGAGCAAATCCCCTTGACCGTGTCCGAGGGCAGCTGAGGTGAGCTCGCTCCTCCCAGCCTGGCACAACTTGGTGACAGTGAGGCTTGGTGGAGATGTCTGGGTCCTAGAACTGTCTTCTGTGGCCAGGAGCGGTGGCTCACACCTGTAATCCCAGCACTTTGGGAGGCCGAGGCAGGTAGATCACCTGAGGTCTGGAGTTCGAGACCAGCCTGGCCAACATGGTGAAACCCATCTCTACTAAAAATACAAAAAATTAACCGGGCATGGTGGCACAAACCTGTAATCCCAGGTGTTCGGGAGGCTGAGGCAGGAGAATCGCTTGAACCTGCAGGGCGGAGGTTGCAGTGAGCCGAGATTGCACCACTGAGGTTGCAGTGAGCCGAGATCGCGCCACTGCACTGCAGCCTGGGCAACAAAAGCAAAACTCCGTCTCAAAAAACAAAACAAACAAAAAAACAAACAAAAAACTGGCTTCCGTGCTTCCCATGAGTGTGGCCATCTCTGTCCCTCAAGGCCACACGCTGCCCAATGATTCCAGGTTAGAAAGTGCACCTGGGCCGGGCGCGGTGGCTCACGCCTGTAATCCCAGCACTTTGGGAGGCCGAGACGGGTGGATCACGAGGTCAGGAGATCGAGACCATCCTGGCTAACACGGTGAAACCCCGTCTCTACTAAAACACACAAAAAACTAGCCAGGCGAGGTGGCAGGCGCCTGTAGTCCCAGCTACTCGGGAGGCTGAGGCAGGAGAATGGTGTGAACCCTGGAGGCGGAGCTTGCAGTGAGCTGAGATTCGGCCACTGCACTCCCAGCCTGGACCACAGCGTGAGACTCCGTCTCAAAAAAAAAAAAAAAAAAAAGAAAGTGCACCTGGAGCCTGCAGATACGGGCTGGCTCCACCGATCCCAGCACCCCCTACGGGTCACCCCCAGCCAGGGGTCCCACAAGCTCAAAGCCAGAAAGCACCTCGTCTCTGTTGAGACAATGGAAGCCAGTGAAAGTTCCAAATGAGGCTAAATTCTCCATGAGGAGACAGAACAGCATAGAAGCTTCTTTCTACCAACTTCCTAGATAGGATCAGAATCCTTCCACCCTGCAGGGGGGAGGCCTGTTCCAGCTGCGGAATCCTTTGGAGCGCCCGGGGCGGGGCATCATCCCTGTGGGGGGCTCATCCCTGCCTAGCCTCCTGCCTTCTGAGGACCTCGGCTGGGAATGGTCCGCCCGGTGGCCTCTCATGCTGGCCTGGTGGATAACCGCTGCGCTCTAGAGCCAGACAGCCCCGGGTTCGCATTCCCCACATGGAGTGCCCTGGGTTCTTCATCAGCAAAGTGAGGGACACACATCTTTCTCACAGATGTGTGAGGATTGAGGTAGGGTTGGCATCTTCATCACTGTGACTTTTTTGAGACAGAGTCTCACTCTGTCACCCAGGCTGGAATGAAGTGGTACCATCTTGGCTCAGTGCAACTTCTGCCTCCCAGCTTCAGGCAACTCTCGTGCCTCAACCTCCCCTGTAGTTGGGACTACAGGCATCCGCCACCATGCCCGGCTAATTTTTTGTATTTTTAGTAGAGATGGGGTTTTGTCATGTTGGCCAGGCTGGTCTTGAACTCCTGAGCTCAGGCAATCTGTGCACCTCGGCCTCCCAAAGTGCTGGGATTACAGGTGTGAGCCACCGTGCCCGGCCCACAGTGATTTTTATTACCCGAGATTCGGCTCCACAGTGCCTCTCGGGGAAGCCTTCCCCGACTCCCCCAGGCCAGGATACACGCTCCAGAAATAACTAAAACTTTCTAGATGTTCTGTATAATCTGTATATTACATCTATTAATGCTTTAGAGTATATATTTGTATACTTTTATAAGCATATATCTGCGTGTACACACACATTTGCTTATATGTAGATGTCCATGTTTTCAGGAACCTCAGCTGAGTCCCAACTCTGTGATAGTTTCTGAAGGACGATGACCTTGCTAGTCAGGGCCATGGTCCCGGAACTGGTGGTGCCAATTTCATGTAAGGTTTGGCTGGGTTGGGGGCCTCTCCCCTTCCCCTTTGGCCCCAGTGCACCTAAGAGACCAATTGTCCCAGAGTACAGGTGGGACAGTCGGCCCAGAGCCTTCCCTGTCACTCCTTCTCTGCTGGTCACTTGGGAACTGGCAAGAAAACTCAGAAATTCTCTCTTTTGGGGCCCTGAGGAGGCAGAGATGGGGGCAGCCACCTCACACAGGGATGCCCTCCCTCCCTGCCTTTTTTTTTTTTTTTTGAGATGGAGTCTTGCTCTGTCACCCAGGCTGGAGTGCAGTGGCATGATCTCGGGTCATTGCAACCTCTGCCTCCTGGGTTCAAACGATTCTCTTGCCTCGGCCTCCCAAATAGCTGGGACTACATATGCCCGCCACCATGCCCAGCTAACGTTTGTATTATTAGTAGAGACAGGGTTTCTCCAACTCCTGACCTTGAATGATCCACCCGCCTCGGCCTCCCAAAGAACTGGGATTACAGGCATTGAGCCACCCCACCCAGCCGAATAGTACATTTTAATTTATTCCTATCAAAATTAGAAGAGCTGGGTCCTTTTTCTTTCACTAGATAGGAAACTTCCTACCCCTCTGTCCTGAGGGCAGCTGAGCAGGAAGAGGCCTACCTGCACTTCCCACAGGAATGGCCTGGGGCTGTGATGCTCTTCTTCCCGGTCCACAGATGAAGACGCTGAGGCTCAAAGAACTATCTGGCTAAGGGCATACAGTCAGCTGGCGGGAGGTGGAACCGGATCCGGGCCCTTCCAGGTCCCGCCCCGAGCTGCTCAAACTCTTTGGGGTCTTCACTGCCTTTCAGAGGAGCTTCTCCCCTCCGTGGAGTTTGCCTCCGAGTCTAGCCCCTCACCTCCTGCGGGAGGAATCCCCCAGCACTAGAGACAAAGCCCAGATGCGATGTCCCAGGGCTGTGCACCCACAAGCCATGCCCGCCCTCCCTGTGTGGCTAAGAGGGGGCAGAGGGAGAGCTGGGGATGTGGAAGCTGCTCCATTCTTCCTCTGCCTGGTGTGGCAGGGAGTGTCCCTGTCCGCTCAGGCAGTTGGGGGAGGGGGACCTTGCATCCCTGCTCCTGGGGTCTGGGGGACACCCCTGTGCCCTGCTCCTTCCCTGGGCATGAAGGGGACCCCAGGATCTAGCTCTGGGGTCTGCCCCTGTGTCCAGCTCCTTCCCAAGGCAGGAGGGGGACCCCTGCATCCCACCCCTGGGGTCTGGGGGGACGCCTGTGTCCTGCTCCTTCCCCGGGCATGAAGGGGACCCCTGCATCTCAGCCCTGGGATCTGGGGGACACCCCTGTGTCCAGCTCCTTCCCCGGGCATGAAGGGGACCCCTGCATCTCAGCCCTGGGCTCTGGGGGACACCCCTGTGTCCAGCTCCTTCCCCGGGCATGAAGGGGACCCCTGCATCTCAGCCCTGGGGTCTGGGGTGACGCCTGTGTCCTGCTCCTTCCTCGGGCATGAAGGGGACCCCTGCATCT